GCCATAAATTTAGATGAACCGGATAGAAAAAGTATACGACATCTACTGTGAGATCTATATTAGGATAGAAATATTGTATAGGACTCTACTAACGCGTGGTGGCATGCCCAGTAAGTATCACAACGCGTGTATGGTAAAGGATTAGTTTTTTTTTTTGGCTCCACACCAAGGATGGCCAGTCAAATTTACATTAAAACAACACGCACAGCAACGCGCGTACTTGTATCGGAGACGTTTAATAAAATATAGAAAATAACGTTGTCATGATCAATTTATGAAAAACCCTATTTAATAAACGTCAGTATTAGCGTTGACAGACTAAATAAAGTCATGATAATTGTATGCCAATATTTAATAAGGGCACAAACCCATTACTATTACAAAACAAAGCAAATAATATTGGACATTCTCAACGCCATATTCATTCTGCCTTCTTTTGTCGGTAAACGGATTTTTCTAAAAAAAAAAAAATGTGAAATTAATTCGAATCGACCCTTCGAATAAATTTCTCTAAATGGTATAATTAATCTGCATACGAACGAATTTTGCTAGCTATTATAATTTACAATTGGGTTCGTAGTGGGTAGAATGGGTATTATTTATTATGACTGTGGAAAAAAGTTAGAATGCACGGATCCAAGCAACATATGCGTCGACGTCTGCCCGGGCAAGCCATCATCAAAAGAACGGCAAAATCGTCTATATCTGCTCGGCCTGATATCGGTTAGACGACGCTGGTGATATTTATTTCGTTTGCGACTTGCGGTCGGCCGTACATTTTCAAAAAAATCTGCTACGCGGATGTTTGGCAGTATAGTCAATATATTTTGTACATATTTATAAAAAAGTGAGACTATAGACAGCTGACTATCTTCGATAGTCCAAAATATTGAACCATTATTGCAGGTTTGTCTCCTATAACGTTCTGTTCACTTGCACGCGGTAGACAAACGCGTCAACGCAGCTACCGACTTAGCTACAAAACTGTTTATTATACGCAAGTTACGTCGATATCCCGTACCCGTCGCACACCATCATACATACAATATGCTCAACGGTTTTTAACGTGGGATTGTTTTCTGCAAGAAGTTCGACAAGCAATAGCACCATACAACCATGAGAAGACAGCATATTACCGACACACGCCGCCATTGAACGTCCTTATTGCAACACCACACAAAGACTCGTTCAACAGTTCCGCCACATCGCGATTCCGAGCACTTCGAGCACAAAGAGAAAGAGAAAAAAAATCTCCAAATCAGCCAGTTCCCTCGCACGAGCTCTATAGTGCACGTGCAGCGTTTTCGCGAACGTATCGATCACGACTCGATCAGCTGATACAATACGATAGACTCTGAGCATCCATCAATCTACGAGCGTAGTCGTCCATACATAATGCTTGTCTGTTCAGCCAGACTGACAAGTGGATCTGGCCTATGGTGACGTGCAGACAACAGACACACAATCGTTCACCGCATCACTCGCACGTGCGCATAAACACATTCAACAATATATTGAAATTGATTGTAGCACCAAGGTGAACGGCCGGTTGAACTGGGCGATCAAATAAGGCAAAACAATCGGAAGAACAGACATCGAAACTGATGGCTGGATATAACCAGGAGAAATGTCAGACAGGGTTTTAGTCTATGTTGGTAAAAGTAACGCAAGATGAAGCTTTACAAAATGTGATTTGAACACGGGAATACACATGACAGGGTCCTTTAAGTTCTCTGTTTTGGTTTCCGTTTTTCGTAGTGGCAATAAAAAATTGGTTAAAATTGAGGTGGTAGTGACAATGGCAAACAATATGCAGTCGACGCTATTACCGCTGCTTCCTAATCCCGTTAAATTTGTATTTGTCGCATGCAGATTGGTGGGGGGCTTATTGCCAGAATACCGGCATAATTTGAGGGAACACCGTCGTGGAGACAGACGAAAACCCTGATTCATCACACTGACTGTTGTTCTATTATGCGGAAATATTAACACTCAGCATCGGCCGGACGCAGAACGATGGCTACGCCTCCGGATCCGAACGTTAGATAATAGTGACAGATAGTAATGTCTATTGATAGAAGGACAAAGGCTAAACTCATTCTGGATCAAAAGAGAAGTTTGAATCCGGTCAAACCTACGGTGATGCTTAATTAGTTTATTTCCATTTATACACAATAATTGTACAGTAGCTGAATTAAGAGCTTGGCAATATACCTATCACCGAGTACACCCAGCGCTTTTTTTTTTTTTTTAGGTTTAATCAGCTGTTCAGCAGTTATTTATAAGCGGCTGTTTTTGCAATTGTCACAGGGTTGTCGATGGACGTCACCGCCTTCATTGGGCGTGAGGTGGTGACGTTGGCTGATTACGATAGCTATAATAGCTGCTATTTAGAATCTACAGTGTTTGGCAGACGCTCCGGCTTTATAGTGCGGTCGCTGTATACTATTCCCTTATGATGTACACAGAGACGGACTCAGGTGAAAATTTTATCTGCAATATTCAACGCACGTGGATTGGACTATGATGAAAGCTACAGCTGTTTTAGTTTACCTAAGAATGAACAAATTCTATGAGTGACGAGAGCAATTGATAAGTGATCCATTGTTACTGCTGCCATCGTAATGAGTGCAAGCATTCGAATAAAAACATTACTCTTTCGTGGTTTCGTTGGACTGGTATTACGAGCGGTGACTTACTGTGAGGTGAACGACAATCCTCTCGATTGAGACATGTACGTTAAGAGGCAGCGCAAATAGTTATTGTTTGCAAGCCAACATTACGATTGCGTGCTAACCGTTGCAAAAGTTGAAAAATACCAAGTGATTAAAAGACGACGCTGCGGGCCATTCATGATATTTGATCAGAATTGAAAACAATACAGATGCCATCTGATTATTAGGCTAATTACTTTCTTCTTTCCATGGCTCTAGCCTCGCTTTTATGACACCTGTTTTTTTTTTTTTTTTTTTATGATCTAGAGCTTCGTTATGGTCTTGTGCTGCTAGAACCCATGCACCACCGGATGGTAAGAAATGCCTTTTCTGGTGTCGGCACGAGCGGAAGACGACGTCAATGTTCGCTGACACTCACTCTCAATGGATGTATAACAGAGAAACCTTCAGCGACAATGAACATTGTCCTGTCAGTACATTTTTTTGGCCTCTCCAGGCACACTTCTGCCTGGAAATATCAAAGTTGAACCGAACGAACTATAAATGAATATCAGGTAACTGCCGGTGGCCACAACAATAACTAGCCACTTTTACAAACGTTCAACTGTAATAGTCAAGGTCAAGTCTCGCATACGTATGCTTGTGACGGCATCTGATAAGGTTTCGCTTTTCACAGTCGGCATGCTTTTCCCCGACCAGACGGTCCTACCTGCGGAGTATACGTTTTTGACCTGAAGGATCAGCGATCAGCGGACCCACAGTATGCATAACGATGTCACGGTTGACAGTGGTGTCAAATTTGTGTACGCCCGTGGAACCATAAGTAGGGTGGGCTTTTTGGTTGTTGGCGGCCGTAACTGATGGCTGGCTGGCTGACTGACAGTTTCTACCAGTGAGTTTTTATTTTACTCCATTGCTCTTTCGGTGCACGAATGGAGCAGCGAACGGACCGCCGCTGCCCCTGTTGCCGTTGCGGCAACTTTTCCACGAGGTACAGGACGAAGACGAGAAGGCCTGTACCTATGTTAGTAACGTGGAAGTATTCGAGGGTTCAGTTGCGACCAAACTTACACAAAGGTACGCGACTTCCGGTACGCGATTTTTTGAACAGTCAAAGTCGCTTGTGCAGTTTACAGACGGGGATAGAACGCCTCAGAGGCGGACCATGTAGGATGGAGGGCATCGTACGGAATTCTTCGAGCCGTTAGCTCACATAGAAGGTAATTATCCGCTAGCAACACCCCCCCCCCCCCTGCTCTCTTGGAGTCATGGCCTAGTGACATTCTCGTTGTATGTTTTTACTCGATGTTGAAGTCGTCGAAGGTGAACGAGAGGCATGTATATCTCTGAGTACCGCAAAAACCTTATAAGGAGTACGGCTTGCACCTGGCTCAACACGACATATCCTCTAACGCAGCTAGGATCTTTTTTGATAACAGAACATTGTCCATGTTAATTCATCTAGTTTTCATTTGACCTGTAAAGGCAAATGAGACTAGCTTGCCTTCTCTTATTTTTGCCGGTTCTATACTATAGTATTAGTGAACATTTTCTTCCCCGCAAAGTTAATCGCTCTCTATTTCTACTTTTCCCTGAGAAGACAATAATACAGAGTTACTCGCTGCCGCAAATTTGGCTTTTCTTAAGTTATCACTACGACAGGCCACATTTTTTGTCGAACACCGCGTGTCTATATATTGAACAGGCCTTAGCAGCGTGGTGTCAGCTGGGCCAGCAGGTTTAGACGAATCAAATCTTAAGCGAAACTCCGACCTTCAATAAATATCAGAGTACCCTTAAAGCCACAGTCAGAGTAAAGCATCTGCAACGTGAAGAAGTTTAAAGGATGCGTCCCTTGATGCGGTGGCGAACAGTAACTCCCTGCACTCATTTGGCATTTTCAGGGTATCTAGATACGTTTTTGTAGATACATTTTGATATCCATGAAACATTTGCAAGGCTACACGATCCCCTCATAATAGCTGAGAGGGTAACGTATTTGCCTTGTAATATTAGGGACACATTGTGGCATAGGTTGGAATCCTGGCATAAACAGGCTTCATCGTGGTGGGAGCCAGCCGCGTGATAAAATGCCTAACGGCGGTACCGGACGTAAAATTCACAACATTAACAACTTGGCTAATTGCGAGATTTTATCGTTCTGTCACATGACGTGACTAAATTAAGTATTATGTTCGACATTAGAAAAACCGAGAAGAAGGAGGGTGAATTTCCAACCTGAGCAAAACAAATGCAGGAAAGAAAAGTTATGATATACTAACTATTTTATAATATTCTACTCTGGATATTACACAACATCTGTAGTGTAGTATTCAGTTCCCACAGGTGTCTACCCCATCGAGGTGTGGCGTCGTCTGCATCTGCCGCAGCGTTCCGGCATTACCCTGCCATCCGCTAGAACTTGCATTATCGGACAGTGTTGTGAGTTAGGCCGATCTTGATTAACTTGGTGTCGTGGCAGCTGGCAGCTGAATTCTCGTAGGCGGTTGATGCAAGATCGTCTTATAGATTTTCGAAGGTCACTGTATAATCCATTAAGTTCATGTTGTTTAGTACGACAACATGCGCCGGCATTCACCGTTCTTCCACTGTCATGACGTCATCACAGTCTCTAACAACCTTTTCGGTGAAGCTTTTTGCAAGTCTTTTCATCATGACTTTGGCGATCATGAGCCGAGGCAATCTGGGTGAAGCCGCCTGGCAAGAAAATCTTCAGCCGAGAATTCGCATCAACAGATTACGTAAGTACAATATAAATACAGGATCTCATAGATTACACGCTATATAATATGTGATTCAATAGTTCTTCACTAGCGATAACGGAAATCCACGCTCAGTGCATATCACGCAGCATTGTAAACGCGTATGGAGGTTATGCATTGACGGGGTTACGGACCCCTATTGGTAGGTCGGTGTATGTGTCAAAAATAGATCAGCTTTTATTAGTTTACTACGCAAAAATTATTTACGTATACTTGCTAGTTAAACAGCAAGTATAGGTGGCCATCACTGTTGTCCAGCTGTTATTAAATAGGTGTCATATGTAAATTAGGGCTGAATGCGATCCGGGTAAGGCAGCACATGGCCGATGAGAAGTTCCTCATACTGCGGGTTGGGGTGCGATGTTCATCAGCATTGGGTCAGGGTGATCATCATATCATATTATCCCTTCTTTCAGTCCAGGTAAAGCGAAGGCTGATTTGCAGATAGCTCATTTGGCTGAGAGCATTGTGCTATAGGCTTAGATTTACCGAAATAGCAAATGAAGCAAGAGGAAAAAAGAAAAAAGTAGATTAAACCTTGCGAGTTTTAGCCACTCCTCTCCCCCTCGCGCACGAACTTGCTTAAGCCTCAAGGACGGTAAGGATGCATGGACATGCATTCTAACAACTCTGTTCAACGAAAAGGTCAAATGCTAGCGAAGAGGTGCAGTGCTTATACGTTCATTGCTCTCTACATCAATAAAGGCAGTCCATTCGATAATTAATGGACAAGCGTAATACACACGCCTCATCCCTTGAACACAAACGTGCTTCATATAAAATAGCTTGCATAGTAAGTATACTGGTTTTTGATAAAATACAGTTAGCTTTGGTGCTGATCAAGTATGGAGGGGTCCTAGCTTGCGATATGGCATTGTTACTACTGTTAGTAGAAGAACTCGGTAGGATGCTTTGAAAATATATACAAGTCGACTGTACACGAAACATTCAATCCCGTTCAGATCACGTCGCCCATGCTCTGAAACAATGTACCTCGGGAACTGTAACCAAAAGCTGCGTTCCCAGGCCAATTTTACCGTCATGCCTTGTTGTCCTGTTTTAACCCGCTCGGTTTTCAGGCTTCCTTTCGTTTAAACAATCGCTAGCTATCTCGGAATCTACGAATCTTACATGGTAGCCGGCGGCTGATCAAAAATTCGATAGAGGTTTCGCTATGAGAATACTGTGCTTTTGCTAACGGATAGAGGATAGGGTTGCCAACATCGAAGGAGTAAAAGACCGACAAGCAGTCAAAAACAACAAAATTCACTGAAAGCGGATAAGTCTTAGGGACGAATTATACGTGGACCACGCCAATGTTTCACACTTATTAAGTATTGTATGCCCTATGACGTTTCGTCGCTCTAGGTTTCGTGCGTGATGCGCTGAATAGGTACGGGAATCCACTTTGATAATATATGTATATATTTCTAGGCCTACCACGGCCACTCTACCGCGTGTGGCCAAGTACAATAGGCTCGGTTAGTCCTAATTTGACCACGATGCACTACGCGCGTCGAGCTGTATCTTGATGCGAAACTTCAAAGAGCTGCTCTTAGGGTTCTTCCAGTGCCATCGTCACCCTATCTAATTACCTGAGCGCCCAACCGTTGTTCCGCATGGCTGTTCTATACTGCTACCTATGATGAGTACCTGCGGCAGCTTCGGTTACTTTCCCAACCTATTGGCTTCGAAGGTCCGTTGCACACTCTTTGATAGATGGGCATAGGTGAGAGCCCTACTAACACAATCACGGTGACCTCCAAGCACGCATTACGATCCATGCTAGAACGGCCCCTGGTCCTGATTCTAATGTGTGTATGTCATAGGTACCGTGTATAAATAGAGCACATTGTTTGCTCGTCTATAGTTCCCGTATGAAGCTTATGATGAAAATGAAGCTACGCGCTTAATATCTAAGGATGGAAAATTCACCCAAGAAGACAAATACTAGTAGAAAATAACGTACTACGTAATAGCATTGCTTTAGAGTATAGCGCGGCAAGGGCCGTATTTTTTGGTTGGACCGAGAATAAGCTATTCTTGAACTGGAATTACTTTGAAGTTCCTAGCCGTAGCAAGATGCGAAGGACACGAAATATAGTTGAGCAAACTTAACCAGCTGGGATATTTTATTTTTAGATAATAGATAATTTATTTTATAGATTTTTTATCGAAACAAAAACCATTCTTCTTCTTCTTCTATAACACACGTATAACTGTTGCGTATCAAGGGACACTTTTCACCTCTCGTAAAGTAAGCAGACTTTTCTAAACGATTGTAAATGTGGATTTTTACCTCTTTTTAACTTGTCACTATGGCATCATGCTAGGCATACGGCGAAAGTGATACGGGTTCATAATTAGCATTGGTCAATATATCAGGGGTGGCATACCGCTACGTTGCTAAAGGCGGTAGGTAACGCTCGCAACCTTCTACCCAGTCGGCGAACATTGAATTCCTTCCGTATTTGTCTTAGCCTGGAATTGCTCATTTTGTCATTATTACCATACTGATGAGATATATTTGTCTTGTACATCATATAGGGCATTGTTGGGCTGGAATTTGATTATACCACTGCGGTGTGCGTGGATTCATATCTAAATTAAATAACGAAAACATCATATCGTTTTGGTAATTGAACGTCCACATATATATAATTTATTATAAGCCGGTCTTTGCTATATTTAGGTTTATATTAGCTTGAATAATTAATTTAAATATAAATGGATAATTAGGAGCAAGTTTTTGCTTCGTGAACGACGATGTAGTCGTGCAATGGGTCAAACTACTGCATTATTACCAATTGGGATACTATGTATCTAATTTTTGTATGGTCGATCCGAGCGAATTACGTAATGACCAGCCCAAATTGTTACACCGTACTCATTCGTTTTTGATCTAGATCTTAACTCACATCTATGATGCACATAGCTGATACCAGATAGCACAGAAGACGGAACGTACGGGAAACGAGTGGTTCAGTTATACCTACCAGAAAGGAATTAGACAGCCGTAGAGAAGAAAACGAGTGCATTTCGTGTGTTTGTTATTACAATATGCGTTCTAGCCATAAAAAAGTACGCCATGTCTTAAAATCAGTAGCGACAATTGAATCTGTGTGGTTTATCGCTGAAGAGCTATTTAGCGTCGACATCTATCAGTTCTATAATAATTCAGTTATTCTCATCGTTACGCATATCACATCTAAATGCCGAAACATAACCATAGGCACTGCTACCATGTTTTGCTGCCACAATCGGCTCCTAGACAATCCACGATGATTTTGAATCAGTAGAGCAATAGCAGCAGGAGCGACAACAAAACAACGACGGCAAGAACTAGAACAAGAGCACAGAAACACAGCAATAACAATAACAGTGACAATAATATCAACGACGAACCTTTTTTGTCGCCACGTGTACGGATGTGGCCGCAGGATTTGCCTGATGAGAACTACTTGTTGGTACTAATTGTCTGAAAATAACAATATATAGGAGGCTTTAGCGAGACTGAGTTGCTATTCAAAAGTAGACGACAGTTTCAATGTACAGCCTGGCATCGGAACAGATAACCATTAAGAAGTCATTTTATTTCACAGTGACTCTGCGATAAAAAGAATTGGCGCAGTTCGTCTTCTGACGCACTACAGCCAGGTGGCCGAACATAGGCTACACTTTTTTCTGGTACACGGTCGATCCATTCTATACAAATCCATTAACCAAGCTGGAGGTCAAGAGAATTAAATTTCTGCCAAGAAGTCGAAGCTGATTCACATGATATTTCACCGAAAATATCGCTTAATTGGAAAAAACAATAATTTTAAAAAATGCACAATGAATACACCAATAACAGAAATCGCCATCTCCTTGAAAAATTAATTTCTTCAAGCTTTCTACTACTCTTGCGAAATAAATTTTTACTTTTTTCCTCAGTAGAGCCATCCGACCTCAGACCGAATAATGATCTTATTTGTTTGATTACTTTACCTACTACCTATTAGAGCTGGCTTTGACAGGAGCTACTTGCTCTTATGCCTTTATCCTGCTTTCGCTATATCAGCAGCGTCTTACAGGGACTTTACGCCCTGTTTTTGCAACTATCCTCCACGTGACTCGTCAGAATGGCAGCAGAACAACCCAATAGAAACATGGTAGCGGCCGCTATTTCTTATTATTAGGTAAGTGTCTTGCTTGAGAGATCTTAAGAAGGCTTAAATCGGCTAGGCAGGATTCTATTAACCGAATTCCTTGCTATCTCAGTTCGCCTCAGACAGTCACGATCGCGGACAAACAGAGCAAATTCGTATATATGTATACGTATGCTAGCAGAGTCAGGTTTTCCGTAACCCAGGTTCAATGGTGGTTGGTTACGTCTAAAAGAAGGTCTGAATGTGCCCGCTCGCAACAGAGAAAGCTAAATAAATTGAATTGGTCGTAAACAGCGCTCGACAGGTGGCGCACAAATAGAAGGATAAGTGGGAAATGAAGAGGAAAAAGGGTAGCGTTGTTTGGTGCTGTTAAAAAAACGTTTCAAGCGTTCTGCATATTCTGAGAAGCCCATGTTTGCACACTTGCCCAGGTCTCATCAGAACATATGGGGACCGTTGAGTCCCCCAGATGGTTGGGGAACGGGCAAGCGTGGTGAAATCCAAGGGTAGTCCAATACCCGATTATAAAGTTTGCTTGTCGTGCACTTTATTAGGTAGATCGGATTGAATGAATACACCTGAAGGCAGAACGGGACAACGGAACTATTCGATGACCTTCGGAGCATTCCGGTCGGGATAAAGTATTAGAGCAGTTAGTTGTCTACAAACATGAACAGGAATGAATGCGGGGTATTACCACTATTGATATTGCATAAAAGCATATAAGCCTGCTATAGATATTATAGCTCTATGTGACTAAAAACATTGATTGGATATTTATTATCGTTATCATTATTACTATCCTACCCGATCGTGAGGACGCACGAG